TGTTCTTCAAAGTTAACAGTCAAAATAAGCATCAGATTTCTTTGAAACTATTTTTGCCTACTTTGCTAAGACTCCTTGACAGTTCTTACTCCATACTCACAGATTATTAAAACTCATTTGAAAAATGTCTCCAGTTGCTTTTTAAGGACTTTTCCATTCTGTATTTCCCCCAGGGCAGCAGGGGGTAGGCTGGCCAAGGGAGATTCTCTAGTTCTCCCTCTGTTTCCATCATCGCAGCTCATGCAGGCAAAGCCCTCTTGGAGCTGGCTTCCCAGGCTGGGCGGGAAATGCTGAAGGGTGAGGAGGGGGATGATTAGGTAGACAGTAATATCTTTAAAGGGGAAGCATCATGGATGAAATTATTCAGGACAGGTTTTATAGGGTTCAGTTGGAAGGGATTATTTCACAATGGGATCATACCAGAATCTAAAAATGTCTGAGAATTTTCATTTCCTATAATTACCAAAAACAAACAAACAAACAAAAAGGCAAAAACAAACCTACATTAAACAGGTTTCTTATCCCCAGCCTTCTGCGTATGAGTGGGAAGCCAGAAGGGGCAAACCTGAAGTCACTCCTTGCTATAAGCCCTAACGGTGACCTAGCTCATAACTCTTAGAGCCTCTAAAGGTTCATCTAGCCCAGTGAAGGAGGCTTACAGTATTACCATCCTCTTTCTAATAATCTGCATTTAATCTTGCAGAGGCAGGAATTTCCCTTTCTTTTCCAAATACTCTCCATTTCTTCTGCTCTTTCTTTGCTGTTGTTCAGTCATTGTCATCTCGTTGAAAGAAACAGGGCACAGAAAGAGTTGGGAGTTCAGCCATTTCTTTGCCCTTCTCTCTTTCAAACACTACCCATGCTTCAAGGTCCAGGTTAGGTTCCACTTCTTCCAGGAAGCCTTTCCAACTGCCTTCTGCAGAACTCCACATGTATCACCTACAGGGCTCCATCAGAAGAGCTGTCATGCTCTAGACTATCACTCTTTGCATGTCTTTCTCCTCACCAGACAGGAATCTCCATGAGTTCAGGGTTGGTATGTTTTGAGCTTTGCAGCCCCAGAATCTAGCAGTGTCTAAAATATAATATATGCTCAATAAATACTTAAACTTTTACTGAAATAATTATAGGCTATACCTTTTTTTTTAAGCCAGGAAACAATCATTGTGTCTGTGTGTAAAAATATTATACTGCTGACAATAATTTAATGCCATCCATTTAAAAATCATCTGGCAGTTTTAAATTTGAAAATTTTAGTTTCTCAACAGATGATGCAATTTCTATAATTCCTTACGGCTCTGTCGGACTTACTGAGCATAATACCTTTATGAAATGAAAATTATGTCCAGGGTTTTTAGTTGTAGGAGAGAGAAACTGAGAAGAATAGGATCATTCCATCTTTTCTGGAGTCAGAAGTCCCTTACCCCTTTTGATACCATATATTTGATAGTTAATTAAACATAGTTTTGCAGCTTTTCCTAGTTAGCTCGGGTTACTCTAGAAACCCACAGAGCATGCAACATAACAAACTCAGGTCAAACACACTGGTTTGAATTTGACTGAAATTAAAGTTACTGGCTTAATATATCGGCCTGTCTGCCTTGCCTCCCTACCACTGGAAAGCTGTTTAATCCCGTGGAGAATGATCAGAGTGCATGAGCCAAGAGCAGGTAGGTATGGTACAGAAAAGGTCAGATCACTTTTTAATTGTAACTTGGTCATTCAATGGGTAGTAGTGACCATACCTAACTCATGACCTGACCTCATAATGACGCCAATGAGTTTACACAATCATCGCCATTGGTCACCATACCAGACATGGTACCTGCATCTCCCACTCATCAAAGACCCTCAGGCAGCCTGTGCAGTATGTGGCCTGAAGCGATATGCAATCTATCAAGAGGTTCTCAAAGGAATGTTTCCATAGGGGCTGTTTCTTCTTAACACTACAAAATAAAGGCCCACCTAAAAATAATTAAACTTCACTTAATATTACTGCTGTCCTATGTGTCATAATTAAACAAGAATGAAAGAAATCTCAGCAGGATTGCAGTCAGGTCTTAGTGTTCCTGAATCATGTATTAGGGTCTTAGTTGAAACCACGTTCAGGGTGGCTCAGAGGAAGTCTCCTTTTCAGAAAACATGAAAGCAAAGCAGGACCGAACTAGGGCTGTGGAACCTAGCTCCCATTCCCACCCAAATGCTGTCTTGATCCTTCCTACTCTTCAGAGCCTGGCTTGAGCTCCTTCCCCACTCCAGACCCTAAAGAGCACCCTGTTTGCTAAGTCGTCTTGGTTTGAACACACCCACTACTCACTGCTGTTGGCTGCTCTGTTTGCTTATGGAAATGGGTATAACTTCCCCATCCCTGACTGAGGAAACCCCTCCACTTGAGACTCACCTTCCTTTTTGCTGATAACCGCATACCCAGCGCCTACCTCAGAGTCAGGAGAATAACCTGTAAAACTATGACTACTGATTGTCATAGAAAAGGTCAGTTTTCTAAAAGTTAAGTTGGGGGTTTATGAAATGATTCTTAATAAGATTCCTTTCATTAGTGACCTAAGGTCCTTAGTGAAGTTAAAATATGATTCACTTAAAAAAAAACTGATGAACATACATCTGTTGTGTAAAGTGAGGGATGTCATATTCTACTCAGTACGGCACGGCAGAGGCAGAGCAAAGTTGCTCTTGTAACTGTGGCTACCTGACACTGGCCTGAGAAAAGAGTCAGCAAATCTCTGAACTACAGAGGAAAGTACTTCTGTCCCCAGCCTCACCCTTCAGGTACCCAGACCCCCATCTCCATGTCAGTTTGGTTACTGTTCTGCCGTAAAGGAAACCCTTGGTGTCATTCAACACCATTTTGTGCTCTCAAACTGCCACACAATAAGGAGCCTCAGCCTTGATGTTCCACAGTGCACAGAGGAGAACACTGCAGACACTGCAGATACTCATTCCCACTCGCCTTACTCATTCACCAAGAGGTGTCATAAGCAAACAGAGCAGCCAACAGCAGTGAGTAGTGGGTGTGTTCAAACCAAGAAAGCTGACCATCCACTGTGGCTTCCCAAAGGGCACTTGACCTCTTGGCAATGCCCAAGACCACCCCAGGCAGTAAGAGAGATGGCCATCTGCCAGGGGAGGGGACGGGGAGACAGACTCCCTCACTAGGGGACAATGTGCTGCATCGGGCAAAACAGAGTAGCACAGTGACGTTGGAGCAAGGCCCCACTGGGCTGGGATCCCAGAGACCGGATGCCAAGGCCAACTTGGCCAATTCAGGGTATCTGTGGGCAAAAGAATTCGATGTCCCTGAAATCTGATTTTCTCACTGGCACAAAAGAGAAAATTTGAAAAAAAATCTTCCAAACCTGATTTTGATGGTGAACACCTACCAGGTGTGAGGCCCTGTGGTGGGCACCAGAGAAGATAAAGACATGTAGGATACATTTCTCATTAATCTCTAATTACGCTAAAGCAGAAAAAAGAAAGTTGACTGCATGACTTATCTGTTTCACGTGGGGCTCCGTGTGTGTACATGTACAGGGACATGCACAGACCCACAAATACTAGGCACCATATAACACACATCAAAAGCAAGGATAGGTAAAAAGTTCTGTACTTGTTCAGAAAGGGATGCCCAGATTTTTAAAAGATATTTCTTATTCTCTTGAGAGATTAGGGGGATAGGAAAAACGCCATTAGATCAGTGTTTCTCAATCAGTGTGGAAAATGTGGTGGTAGGGGTGGAACTTGGGATCAAGTAATTGGGAAATAGTAGATTAAATAAAGATTATCCCCCTCCTCCAAGGCAGGTATCCTCAGGGGCATTAATAAGCAAATGCTTGCTGAGATACTCTACAAGAGGTCAAGACTGCAGTGTTCCAAGCTATGGGCCACAGAGTCCTTTGAGTTTCTCATGTGATGAGGGTTCTGAGAAAAATACTCCATAAGAAACAGTGCACCAAAGAGACTGTAAATTCCCTAAGGCCAAGGACTGGGATTTGCTCACCACTGTATCTCTAGCACCCGGCACAACACTGGGCATGTGGGAAGAATTCAATAGAATATAATAAAAATGTGCTGAATTACCAAATAAGTAATTATTGAATTCAAACTGGAATGAGCCAACACTGCCAATGACATGGGGGTGGGAGTGTGCCCCGGAGCAGGGACTCACCTCTCCACGGTGGCACCTTCACCGTCTGGGCTCAGGATGGCACAGGGAGGAGTGGCAGGTGAGGTTTCCTTTTACCTTCCCCAGAAGCTAAGGGCTACAAACCCTAAGGCATCCTATAAGACTTAGTCATTTTTCTTCCCAAAAAGAGGTACTACGTGCTTAATGAAGAATGCTGACATTTCTCTTTACAAAAACTAAGTAAAAAATCAACTACAAAACTAATAATAGATCAGACAGCACAACGTAGTTACAGTTATCTTTGTTTGTTTACTGCCATCTTCTGGTTCCCAGGCTCCCATATGGTAAATTTAAAATACCACCTCATTTCTATTTCACTGTGGTGTTTTTAAGGACTGGTTCACATCCTTTACCTCACATGACATTATACAAGTTGGAAATGGTCAGCGTGGTCTTTTCTTTTTCATTTGACCTGAAGGCACCAGAGAACTTGAGTGATTTGCCTAATGATACCAGCGAGAAACAGAGCAAGACTAACCACGCCTGTTGGTTTTTCCTAGGAGCAAACACTGGGTTTAGTCACTTGGCTTTGTCCAGCTCTGTTTGCAAAGAGTTCTACTGCTCTCACACCCCTTCACAAGCACAATCTTGAATGGAAAACTCCATGCCCTTATAAAAGAGGATTCTGTCAAATATGCCCTTGATCTTTTCAAGGGTAAAATCCATTTCACTTTACAAGGTCTGTGAGAAGAGAATGTAGATGGTCTATAATTGATCTTTTCATCTGAAAGTCAAGATACCAGTGTCCTATGGTGCTACCCCCACAAGACGGGGGTCCACCAGCTTTTCCCCAACATACCTTGGTCTGGAAGCAGCAGTACAGTTGGGTAAGATATGGGTGTTTCCGGGCCAAAGCCAAAATCCTCTTCTCTGTCATGGTGCAGTCTACATCATCGTCCTGAAGGATGACATCTTTCTTTAGGACCTTCACAGCATATACTTCATCTTTGCCTTTCAGCTCTGCCAACATGACCTGCAGTCAACCCAAACCACCACTATCAGTCTCCACATGTATGGAATCAAAACAAGACACACAAATCAATACTAAATGCTTTAAGAAAAATTTTTTTAACTTTAAATACTTTAACAGCATTAAAAAATGTCTAGAAAAACTACCCATCCTAATATACCTACTACAATTTACTTATTTGTTTGTAATTCTAGCATGGGTGCATGCAAGTAGAAGTTCAATGCACATGTGTTAAATAATTATTCACATGTTCATATACCTTTGTCATACTTGCAAATATAGCGCAGCAAATGTACTAACTGAACATTATTTCATAAGCATTTTTCTACATGGTCTCCATCATTATTATGGCTGCTGATACCCAACTCAAGTGAACATATTACAGTTTATTGAATCACTTAAATTAGACACTTGTTATATTTAATCAAGTATCATATAATAGTATCTGAGTATTTCTATACATACAATCTTTTTTCTTTTGGATCATACCCTTAAGATAGAAAGACTTAGTAGAAGATTATAAATTGAATATTTTGCACATTTTGGCCACTAACAATAAAGAAGTGCTTTAGTTTCATGGCAATATATCAACATTGGCTGTTTCACTCAAAAAGTTTTGTTTCTCATGTAATAGGTGTTAAATGTTACCTCAATGATTTTTTAACTTGTAGTGAAACTTTTTAATATTTGTTTTCTAACTGTGTTTGTGTGTGAATTGTCAGTTTTATGTCTTTTCCTATATTATTTTCTTATGAATTTGTATGAGCTTGATATATAAAGATATAAACCTTTCACTTGCTACAAAGGTTTTTTTAAACCTGTGTTAATGATTTTTTTGTTGCTTTACTTTTTACCGAACAGGATCATTTTTCTTGATGTGGCTGAAACTGTTTCTTGCCTTTATAGTTTCTTCTGCAGCTTAAAAGCTGGGAATATGATTCCTTCTCCAGAGACAATTAACAGTTCGATTTTTTCAAAGCTTTCCTGCCATTTGGTATTTCTGCACTCATTTCTCTATAAAATGTGACAAGTTTTTCTCCTTTTAAATAAGTAACTCCTGAGTATAATCTTCCAGCATAAGTAGTCAGAGCTAAAGTAGCTCAGAAGCTTATAGAGAGAATTCAGGATGTTAACCTGAGGACCTTCCAGCATATACATATAATGAAAACTCTATTAAACTGGCTTAAACTTTCGCTGGGATTATTCCTAAGAATCTAAATGCTTTGGAGTCATCAAACTTCCCATCATGCCTACACCACATGGACACCTAGAAACTCAGCCTGCTCACTTCCCTTGAATCTTGCTCAAAATTAAACCTGCTCACTCTCCAGAGTTATACCTAGGCCAGAGGACTGGGGTCTGTTTCTTATGTAGCCAGTCTCTAAAGAATGTGATTGCTTCAGCTTTTGCCATGTAAGTAAATTCCAGTTACCATCCTGCCATGATAGACAATCGGCCTAAAATCAGGGCAGGTGAGAAAGGCAGGGGATGAGGCCCCATGCCTTGGGGGCTTTACAGAGCCATTCCCTTCAGAGATCACTGGAGAGGCTCTGCAGCTCAGCAAGGTCACTGACCCACAGGCTGCTGCTTTATTTAAGAGCCCAGGACATGTGAGGGCATGTGACCCCTGGGAGCTTATAGTTTCTTCTGCAGCTTAAAAGCTGGGAATATGATTCCTTCTCCAGAGACAATTAACAGTTCGATTTTTTCAAAGCTTTCCTGCCATTTGGTATTTCTGCACTCATTTCTCTATAAAATGTGACAAGTTTTTCTCCTTTTAAATAAGTAACTCCTGAGTATAATCTTCCAGCATAAGTAGTCAGAGCTAAAGTAGCTCAGAAGCTTATAGAGAGAATTCAGGATGTTAACCTGAGGACCTTCCAGCATATACATATAATGAAAACTCTATTAAACTGGCTTAAACTTTCGCTGGGATTATTCCTAAGAATCTAAATGCTTTGGAGTCATCAAACTTCCCATCATGCCTACACCACATGGACACCTAGAAACTCAGCCTGCTCACTTCCCTTGAATCTTGCTCAAAATTAAACCTGCTCACTCTCCAGAGTTATACCTAGGCCAGAGGACTGGGGTCTGTTTCTTATGTAGCCAGTCTCTAAAGAATGTGATTGCTTCAGCTTTTGCCATGTAAGTAAATTCCAGTTACCATCCTGCCATGATAGACAATCGGCCTAAAATCAGGGCAGGTGAGAAAGGCAGGGGATGAGGCCCCATGCCTTGGGGGCTTTACAGAGCCATTCCCTTCAGAGATCACTGGAGAGGCTCTGCAGCTCAGCAAGGTCACTGACCCACAGGCTGCTGCTTTATTTAAGAGCCCAGGACATGTGAGGGCATGTGACCCCTGGGAGCTGCCAGAGACAAGTGTTCGGCCCCAGAACAGGCCTCTCTGCTCTGGGAGGTCCTAGGAAAACTACTCCCAGGCACAGGTTTGCAAAGAGCAAGAGAATAATCAGGGATCTCAGCTGAAATGTTAACCATCTCCTTAGGCTCTCTGCCCTTCCATTTTCTTTTTATAATTATTATTCTTCAGTCTCCCTGGCCATCCAATGTGGCTGCTCACCTCGAATGCTTCACTGAGCACACTCTGCATACACACCTCGCACTACTGCATTCATCTCAGGGGGGAGGACAGAGAAAGTGGAGAGGACAGAGAAAATGGCACAAGGGCAGAGGGACCCTGAGGTACGTGAGATGATGATTTTCATTCTCTTGCCACTTATAGAGGATAAACAAAACATTCACGAAGTTCACTAAGGCAGAGATTCTGGAGTTCATTTTCAAAATCTTTTCAATGAATTAAAACCAGAATTTCAGATGGATCTCTGAAGAGAGGAAGAAGTACACTGTTACTATTAGTGATAATGGAATGCCAAGCACACATAAAGCAATCTAAACTTTTAAAAGGGCTTTTTCACCCACCATCTTGCTTGATTCCTGTCCTCATTTGACAAATATGCAAAACTGAATCCCAGAGATTAAATGGCCAAAGTCCCATGGCTAATTAGCAGCAGACCCAGGTCCTATCTCTTGGCCTCAGGACATTTCCACTCATAAGGAAGGAAAACGTTAACAAGACCAGGCTGAAATGTTCATCGCTTAATCTTAGATCAAACAGATGGAGCAATGCTATGGAGTAGAGAAAATCAGCACCCTACCAGTGCGCCACAGACCTTGCCAAAGCTGCCTTTGCCCAACACCTTGATGAAGTTGAACTCATCCAGGCCCAAGCGCTTGGCCTGGCCTTGCCGGACTTCACCGTTCTCACCAGGGCTCACCAGCTGGCCATCACTGGATGATGCAGCCCTGTGCTCTTCCCCTCGGTTGTCAAATGACAAGGCTTTCCGGATGTTGTTTTCAAGTTCTTTTAGTTCTAGGGCCAAGGGTGATAAGATGTTGCATTAGTGCACACCTCATGAGCCCTTCCCCTTAATGGGAGTAGTTAATACTCAAATGTCCATCCATGAGCTCTCAACCCTCTTTCTGGTTCTTCATAAGAAGAGATGGGGTCTGGCATTCCTTTGTATGTTCCTTCATCTGCTCTATACACTTTCACTGGCACCTAATGCACAGCAGGGCCTCAGTATGCAAGGCAGACACAGTCCCCACCAACCAACCCCTCCAGATGACACTGGGACCAGGTCACCTCCCAAAAGCCCCCTTCAGTGAGCAGCCTATTCCTTACAGGTATAATGCAGACATCCTGGCCTTCTCCGGGACCTTGCAGAGTCCCAAAAGCAATAGGTATCCTTCAAATTTCCTTTGAAGTTTAAAATGACTTAATGAGAATTGCCATCACAGTAATCACTGGTGACATAATTATTTCAACAGCTATTCCTAGGAAGCCTAAAGGACATCACTTGGCCTTGTTGCTGGGATTATTCTAAATTCCTGTCTCACACAAGGCTGCTTAACAAAATGAGCAATGGGCTTATCATTAACTAAAGAATTGCTTCCTAAGAGCGACATGCAGCAAATTTATCTCAAATGGGGCAGGGGCTCCTCAGTATAATTTCACAACTATGGGACAGTCTTGTGCCCCTCCAGAGTATGTGACTTGAACTACCTGGGGCGATAATGCTAGATGATCTTGTGACCTTCTCTATTTGAGGAAGCTTTATTGTTAGCTATTCATTCACCAAGACACACACTCCTCAGCACAGAAATGGGCATCTTAAGTATAATCCAATTTTAAAAGATGCTCATGAATCACTGGGATTACAGACGAGGAACACCGCCTATTGCCCTTGGAAGTCAGAATCAGGTACGAGTGATCAGGTGCTGTGACATAAAGGCATCTTCAACTGCTTTTCAGGACTGAGGTCCATGAGAGCTCATGCAGGGCATCTGCAGAGCTCCCTTTCATCTGGAGTTTGGCTCCTCTGAGATGTGTTGGGCAGGGGGAGAACTTGAGTCTGAGTCCACAGGTGTTCCCCTGACAACTCAGCAGTTTTCTATTACTTGCTTTTAAGTATAACTTTGAGTCTCAGCATACAGCTAAAAGTCTCAGTTTCCAAGGCAAGTTATTAAATGGGTTTTGGAAGACAGAACTTAGGTGTTCAGGGATACCAAAGTTTGAAGAAAACGTCTACGCATTCCTGGAACAGAGGAAAGGAAAACTAGATCTTATTTATTCTGTAACAGGGGGGTGTCTTGCTGAGAGGGTTTTTGCATCCACGTGCACTCGCATCACTGCTGTGTAATACTGGTACTAGACTGACCAGGGACAAAAAGAGGCAGTGTGTCCTGCCAATACCAGACACTATGTTGGGCAGAAGCTGGGCCTAGAAACCATGGCCACCTCACTCTTACTTGGGGTCTCTTTACATTATGACCCTGTCTCCTTGAAGTTCTCAAAGGAGGTCTCACCCTTAAAAGGGACATTTGGAAATACCCACACTGGTCCAGGATAATACCTACTGGTCTGGAGGCCCCAGAGTACCATCAAATTACTTGTGAATGGATCAAATCTCTTTTGGAATGAAGCAAAGTATGAAAATGCAGAAAGTTACTCAGAGCAGCAAGAAGAGGGGCTCAGACCAATTATTTAGTGACCTCAGGGTCGGCACCCTCCCCTGAAGCTGTTCTCTTTGTTCCTGGGTAAGTAAAGCTGGGTTTGCTGACCTCTGGGGAAGGTTTGATGGCACAGATTCTGAAAGTGGGGTCCTAAAGCCAGGGGAGGCATGGTCTTCAGACTTTAACTCTCTGATCTTCCACTTACCACCTGGTACAAGGGACAGTAACGCAAACCCTGTGTACAGCTGATGTGAGCATAACATCAGGATAACAAATACAAATGGGGCTACAGAAAATCAAGGTACTATTGTTCTGTAGTGATTGTTATTCCTGATGTGCAGATACATACATCCCTTCCAGGGGATGCCTGGTTCTGGCCAGCAGAGGGAAAGGTTTTAAGTGTGTTAGCCTCACATCAGCCTCAGTTTTCTTAGATGCTTGTACAATTTAGAAACGTCACATTACTTTAAGTATTCCCATGGGGAAGGAGGTGACATCTTGGGCTGGGCTTTAGGAAGGAATCGGGTCTAGAGCTGGCTCCCTCCCTGCTTCTCTCAGTCTCCAGCTTCACCTCCTTATCCCTACCCACTCCCCACCAGGTGGGAGACACACTCCCACCCCCTGACTCTTGCCCCAATCTTAGGTTTTAGGTGTGATGATCAGAGTCAGGAAGGGGGCCAAACCCAACTCAACCGAGTGGTGCTGATGGGTCTGGGAGCAGACGCCCGGGGCAGAGGGAGGACGGGCTGCACCCTCAACCTCTCCTGCACCTGGAACCAAGGAGAGAGGCAAGGGAAAGGAACGAACCATCACATCACATGCTCTTTCTTTTACCCCGGCTAGAAGGGACTTAAGGCAGGCAAGGCCAAATAGCGCCTCACCCTCAAGAAAGCCTTGTAGAGTAAAAGAACAGCTAATGAGTCAACAGGGAAAGGGTGTCTGAAGAACTTCCAGGGCCGCTGGCTCTTTCAGCTAACAAGGTCATTCCCGGGTGGAGAGGCCTCAAGCTCCTTGGTCCTTCCAGCGACAGAGCTCAGAGGTACAAGCAAATCTGAGGGTCTCACCCTGGTCACAAGGGGAGGTGGGTGCCGACTTGGATCGATCTTCCTCAGATGGTGAGCTTCCAGAAGCAGGCTGTGGGGACTCAGCACCGGCCATGAGCTAGAGAAAGGGAAAGAGGGGAAAGAAGCATCAGAGGGAGATGGTGAGTGTCTGTGAGGTCAGAAATATCAGCACGCTATGCAAAAGGCCAAAGGGCATCCCTGGAGCACAGTCCCACTCGCGGAACTGATATTTTGAAAGCACAGACTCAAGGTGTCATTAGACAATTCAAGGGAGAAAACAAGAAACTTCAGTTTGCTCAATTTTTATTCTATCCAAATATAACTGACCTTTTTAAACAAAGTTCAACCTCACCCCCTCCTAAAATCCTCTCTTGCCTTTGCAAGCAATGCAAGTTACCTCATCCAAAGCAATCTGACACTTGTTGACTTTAACACCTATGTGGCATTTATTCATTATCTTCTTCAGCTTTATTTACGTAATAATATCTGTGTGTGTATATTATGTGGGGCGCTCTACTCAGGTAGACTATAGGTTCTTTGAAGGTAAGACTCTATCCAGTATTTGTATTGCTCCTGGTGACCTGCACAAAATGATACACATAATTGAAGCTCAGATATTTTTAGATGTATTGATATTTGTTGGCAAATTTTAATAGAACACCCCCAGTGAAGTCTCCTTCCTGGCATAAAGGCTGGCATATCCGTTTTAAGTTCCTGTCAAAGTCACAAGCTCTTCTGCTCGCGTCTGCTCGTAATCTTACCAGCTGCGTGCACACAACCTTTCTGGACAATGGACTACATGCAAGGGGTGACGTGAAGGGAAGTGAAGCCCAGCAAGTGCAACACTACTGTAAAGAAGTGCTGTTAGCCTCTGACTGAGGGCACCTCTCCCCCACCCTCCCACACAGTCGGAATGGCTACGCGGCTCCCTTTATTTTCCCTTCAGGAACTTTTGCATCATCAGCACTGTAGAAATAAAAGTATCAGGACTCAAGTCCCTTAGTCTTTTACTCTGCCATCCCTGAATTCTCTGTGTTGGCTTACTACTGGGCTCCCCCAAATCCAAGAGAGATTGATGATGTCTGGCTACTGGCATTATAGCTCATATAAATATGGGGAAGAAGGCAAATAGTTTTTTTTTTAATGTTTCATGACAATTAATATTCTGTCTCAGTTCACTTCTAGCAAGGAAAAAACCCATGTTTCCTGAAAAGGGCTCTCTGTATAGCTCATGTGTGTCCAACATTGTCATCACAGGGTATTTGCTTAATCCATCTCTTCAGTGGGACCCTAGCATTTCTGGGTGCTGACATTCTGCTTGCAATTGCATTGCCTTGTCAATATGTGAAGCCCTGTTTCCTGCAGTAGGATCTGCAGAGCTAGAAGAGCTACCAGAAACCCAAATCTCACAGCTAACCAGGGAGAAGAGAATTTTTTCCTCCAATGCTTACAAAACAGCTTTGTTTATTGGGAAGGTAGACAGGGAGAAATTTAAGATGGAAACAATCAAACTTCCCTGTTCAAGGGAAAAGTCTCTTCTGAGAAGCACCAGGGGAAAGGTATGGGCAGCTTCTAAAATGAGAAGAGAAATGCAGATCCCTTCAGAGATATTTCAGGGCAAGATTAAGGGAGAACATTTAGGAGTCAAGATTGGAAAAGCACCCAGAGTCGGACTCCCTTTTCTAGTAAAAGCTTGAGAATGCCTGATACTGGGCAATGAGGGCCACTGCCCACTCCCCCACCTCTCACCAGGACATCTTGCTCAGTTAACATGATTCTCATTTTCTCATAACTTACTTTTTTCAAAGACCTCTTACATTTTCTAGGCTGGGAGCCAAAGCTAAGAAAAGCCTTCAAACAAAATGCAATGGATGCCTGTAGCTCTGTTTACATCTGTGGGCCCTAACTTACCAAAAAAACATTTTAACAAATGGATCTCTTCCTACTGACATTCTGAATGTCACACAAATAGAGATGGGGCTTTGGTCTCCAAAGAAAGGCCCAGATGTTTCATGTCGTGGGAGCACTGACAATACTCCTTGCTCAGCTGAGGGCCAGCACTATCATAAATTTTCTTGGCTTGCTCTCTAGAAAAGAATGTGCTTCCAGTACTTCGTCCATGTACCCTCATTACAGTTATACCAGGGACAAAGTTCAAACACTGACATTGCTTTCATGCCAGTTCTAGGAGCAGATAAGTCATTTCCTTGTCTGGAGCTGTCCTTTTCTAGAGGGAATTCCATAGTCCTTGTCTCAAAGTTTATGTTCCCCTGAGAAACATAATCCTTGAGGCCTGCTTTGTTTTTCCATCACTTCTGGGACTGAAAGGAGACTTAAATGTTACCTGCCTGGCCACTGTTGGTTTTATTTTTTCCTTTAAACACATGCCATTTTTAAGAGTACAGTGTATCAAGCCCAGCAATCTTACAATCTCATTCTAGAAGACTCTCAGGAAGCCAACAGAGAGATGCTGGCCCACAAAGAGCTCCAGAAATACCCCCAAATAACGGGTTACCTTTTTCCTCCTCTGGCCACTGTTGGTGATTTTGTCTGGAGTGACGCCTAGGTCGGCCAGCACTCTGGCAATTCCTCTGGCGTCCACTCCACAGTTGGGAGCCACATTGGTCTCGCAGCGTCGGTGAACATTCATCTTGCAGACTGTAAGGAGACATGGAGAAGAGACTTCCAAATGTTCACAGACTAAAACATGACCTTAGTTTTTTCTGATTGCAAAAGTAATACATGTTCATTTGACAGAATTTGGAAAATGCAGAAAGACAAAAAGAGAAAAATAAAAATCACCTATCAACCCATCACACAAAACTAAACTTATCCATCAAACCACCATACAGAGATAACCACTGTTTACAGATAAATATCACATTATATCTCCTTTAAGGGAGCAGAACACTGACTGTAGAAGTTGATCGGTTTATCTGTAGAAAGTTCACTTGGATTCTGAACCCAAATGGGTCACATAAATACCCATCTCATTACTCTGCTAAAATGTGGGAATATTGTGAGAGTAATGTCCACAGTAGAGCATATCATCTAGATATGCATCTGAAAAGGAGATTGAAGGAGTTGACCTCCAAAGCCCTTTTCAAATCTAAAATCCAATTTCAAAGGAACAAAATCCATCCCTGAATGTCTTTGTTTTGTGCATATCACTCAGTTGTCCTTTGTGTAGAACATCAAAGGTAAAAACAAACTGTTCTGGTTTCTAGTCCAGCATGTAAGGGGCATGGAAGTTGTCACTCAGCCCTAACAAGTACAAAGCTGAAAAAACTAAAAAACCAATAACTCTTCTGAGATCTTCTGAGATTTCCCAGAGAAATAAGGTCACAGGGTAAACTGCTGCCCCCAGAACGGGAGAGACAGACAGGTAACCACAGTGAATCAGAGCATACTGGAGCAGAAAATCCCCAGCAGCGACCTCTGCGGGACCCCAAACCTGAACTGAATTGGCAAATCACTGGAATCTCAAAGACAAGTTCAAGAGTCAAAATAGGGGGCTCCCACCCCACTTCTGTGAGTTTTAATTCTAGGAGCTGGACCAGGTTCTCACAGTGAATACTGTAGAAAAATTCCCTTATGTTACTGGCATGGGTGGAAGACCATTTTGAAATTTCCAGAGCACTCTGTTCTTAACAAGGACCACTCTCGGGAGAAATTATTTTATCAGAGCCTGAACTATATAGTTTTATCAGATCCTAACTGACCTGGGGGAAGGAAAATACCCAACCCCAGCTCCCTCTAGCTTTCCATTTGAGAGAAGGGAAATACCTAATTTCTGCCCACTTTAGCCATCCTGTTCCAACTAAGCAGTGAGGAAGAAGCCCTAAGAAAAATGAAGCTCCTAGTTCAGAAGCATAGTGTCACGAAAGACTAAATGCTTCCTCTCCCTCTTACCACCCCATTCCTGAAGGCCTGATTACTGCAGTTATTTTTATCTAGTATATTATGTTCAGCTATCAAGAAAAAAATGACAAGGCATACCGAAAGACAAAACACAGTTGGAAGAGATGGAATAAGCATCAGAACCAGACTGGACACAGCAGGGATGTTAGAATTATCAAACAAGGAATTTAAAACAACTATGATTAATAAGCTAAGGGTTCTAATCAATAAAGTAGACAGCATGTAAGAACAGATGGGCAATGTAAGCAGAGAGACAGAAACTCTAAGGGAGAATCAAAAGGAACTGCTAGAGGTCAAAAACACTGCTACAGAATGAAGAATGCCATTGATGGGCCCATTAGTAGAATAGAGATAGCTGAGGAAATAGTCTGAGGATATGACAATAGAAACTTCCAAAACAGAAAAAAAAAAGGGACTGAAAAAGAGGTACCAAAATCTAAGAAATATGAGAACTACACAAAAAGTGTAACATACGTTTAATAGTAATACCAAAAAGGGAAGAAAGACAGAAATTAACAAAAGAAATATTGGAAGAAAAAAATGACTGAAAATGTCCTCTATTAATGTCAGATGCCAAACCACAGATCCAGAAAGCTCAGAGAACAAGGAGCATGGCAAATGAAACAAACAAAACCACCACCACAAAACAAACAAAAACAAATTACACCTAGGCATGTTATAAACAAACTGCAAAAAAATCAAAGATAAAGAAAAATAATCTTGAAAGATGCCAGAATCTTCCCTACAGAAGAGCAAAGAAAAGATCTACCAGCAAATCTGACTTCTCCTCAAAAAGCATGGTAGCAAGAGGGTGGTCTTTTAGGAAAAAAACACAGCAATGTAGAATTTTTTACCCTATGAAATTATCCTTCAAAAGTGAAAGAAAAATCAAAACTTTTTCAGACAAACAAAAATTGAGACAATTTCTGCCAGCAGATCTGTCTTGCAAGAAATGTTAAAAAAAAAGTTCTTTTCAGAGAGAACGAAAATTGTATCAGTCAGAAACTCAGGTCTATATAAAGAAGGGAAGAGCACTAGAGAAGGAATAAGCAATGTAACCTAGAAACTTTTATTTTTCTTATTTTTAATTCATCTATGGTAAAGTTAAAACTTTTATATTTCTTATTTTTAATCTAACAGGTAACAACCTTTCAAAATAATAACAATATTTGATTATGTTGGTTTATATATATAATATATAAAAATATATATGCTTAGTATATATGAAATGATTGATAGTAATGACTCAAAGAGTGGTAGAGAGGAATTAGCTCTCTAATATTATCTCTGAAATATTAGAATATTATTTGAAAGGGACTTAGATTAGTTGTAGATGTATATTGCAAACTCTAGGGCAGCCACTAAAATAAATAGAAAAAGATGAATTGGTATGCTAAGAGAAAATGGAAACACATAAAATGTTCAATTAAAACCACAAAAGGCAGAAAAAGAGTGAAAGATAAAATAGGAACAAAGAACAAGAGCATCACTGGAAAACAGTAGCAAAAATGGTAGTTATTAACCCAACTACATCAATAATCACTTTAAATACCAATGGTCTAAATATACCAAATAGAACATAGAGATTATTAGAGTGAATTAAAAAATAAGACCCAACTACATGTCATTTACAAGAAACCCATGTTAAGTACAGACACATAGAGATTAAAATTAAAGGTATGGAGAGAGACATATCATACTAACACTAATTAAAAGAAGAAGAAAGGAGTAGCTACATTAATTTCAGACAGAGCGGACCAAAGCAAGGAGTTATCAGGGATAGCAAAGGGCATTACATAATGATAAAGGGGTCAACTGCTTAAGAGACATGAAAATCCTTAATGTCTTTGTGCCAACAATAGAGCATCAAAATATATGAGGCAAAACCAGAACCACGAGGACAAACAGATGAATCTACTATTACAGGTGGAAATTTTAATGCCCTCCTATCAGAAATGGACACATCCAGAAGGCAGAAAATCAGTAAGGACATAGTTGAAGTCAATATCATCAGCAATCAACTGGTTATAATTAATTATTTATCTACTGACTACTTCATCCAACAACAGCAGAAATCACATTCTTCTCAAGTTCACATGGAACATTTTCCACAATAGAACACATTCTTAACAAATTTAAGAGAAAAGAAGTCATACAATGTCTGCTATCAGACCATGGTAGAATTATATTAGGAATCAATAACAGAAAGATAGTTGCAAAATCCCCCATGACTTAGAAACTAATGCACAGCTAAAAAACACACAGGTCAAAGAAATCTCAAGAGAGATTTAAAAATATTTTGACTTCATTGAAAATGAAAATACAACCTATCATAACCAGCAGGTACAGCAAAAACATCCTTGAAAGACACAATCTTCCAGAACTTACACAAAAATGAACACTGTTAGCAATCTCTACCTATTATTGATCATTTTTCAAAAAAAAGACAGCATCAGGTACAGATGGGTTCACTGGCAAGTTGTACCAAACATTTAAGGAAGAAATTATACCAACTCTATGCAATATCTTCTAGGAGATAGAAGCAGAGGGAACATTTCCCAACTCATTTTATGAGGCCAGCATCACCCTAATAACAAAACCAACAAAGACATTACAAGAAAAAACAACTAGAGCCCAATATCTCTCAGAAATATCAATATAAAAAAGCCCTCAATAAAACACTAGTAAATTGTATCCAGCAATCTATACAAGCAATATGTGTCATGACCAAATGGGATTTATTTTAGGTATGCAAGGCTAGTTTAATACTTGAAAATCAATTAATGTAATCCATCACATTAACAGGCTAAAGAAGAAAACTCACATAATCCTATTAACAGGTGCAGAAAAAGCATTTGACAAAATCCAATACCCATTCATGATAAATTCTCTCAGCAATGAGAAAATAGAGGGGAACTTCCTCAACTTGATAAAGAACATCTACAAAAATCCTACAACATCATACTTAACTGATGAGAAGCCAGAAGCTTTCTAATTATAGGAACGGGATATCCCCACACCACCTCCTTCTCAATATTGTATCAGAAGTACTAGTTACTGATATAAGAAAAGGAGGTAAGAGGTGTACTAACTGGAATGGAAGAAATTAAACTGTCTTTGTTCACAGATGATATGATTGTCTGCATACAAAATCCAAAAGGACTGACAAAAAACTTCTGGAGCTAATACGTGATTAGAGCAAAGCTGAATACAAGGCTAATATAAAAAAGTCAATCACTTTTATATATATATATATATCAGCAATAATCAAGTGGGATTTGAATTAAAAAATGATCTCTTTTATACCTAAAAAATGAAATACTTAGGTATAAATCTAACAAGATATGTACAAGGTATTTATGAGGAAAATTATAAAACTTTGATGAAAGAAATAGTAAAGAACTAAATAAATGGAGAAAGTTTCCATTTCATAAGTAGGAAGTTTCAGTGTTGTCAGGATGTCAGTTCTTCCCAATGTGATCTATAGATTCAATGCATTCTCAATCAAAATCCCAGAAAGCTATTTTGTGGATGTTGACAAACTGAATTTTACGTTTATACAGAAAGGCAAAGACCCAGAGTAGCTAACCCATTATTGAAGAACAGCAAAATTAGATGATGAAACTACCCAACTTTGACACTTACTATAAAGCTACGATAATCAAAACAGTGTGGTAATGGTGAAACAATAGGCAAAAAATGATGGGAACAGACTAGCGGGCCTGAGAAGAGACCCC